TGTGTGTGTGCGTGTGTGTGTGTGTGTGTGTGTGTGTGTGTGTGTGTGCATGTGCCAGGGGGAGGGGAGGGAGGACCCCTCCCCCACCAATCAATCAATCAATAATCAATCAATCAATCAATCAGTCAATCAATCAATAAATAAAACTATCAATCAATCAATATTTACTTATTTTTCTATTTATTTATTTATTTTTGTCACATACCAAAAAACACCACCCCAAATTTTATTTTATTTTATTTTTTTTATGAACAGGGCCATAGAGGTCGATGTGCGACAGTCGCGCGCGCGCGCTGTTTTCCCGAGCGTGCCCCCACCTGGGCCTGGCGCGGCCGCGCGGAAACTCGGCTGCCGCCGAGGCCGCAGAATCTGCGGCCTAGGGTGTCACGTAGCTAAGGAGAAATTTGACAAGAGTGGAAAAATTTGGGGAATGTCTAAATGGAGGAACTTCCCTATCTTGTGAGCCACAGACAGTGGGTGCTCTAGAAGAAAAAAAATATTGTGAGCTTACAGAAAATTTGGGGCACCACACTCTTAGCACCAAACATGGGCCACTGTCGAATGTCGATAGAAGTTGAAATACGAAATGTCAAGACTTTCTTTCGCCACAGGGGGAGGAGGGACGGGAAGGGCAAAAGTGGGTACCAACATCAGCGTTTTTTTTAAGGACCCATGTGCATTAATTACAAAAACCGTTCAGGCCACAAACCCTTCTTTCAGACATATCCCTTGCTCAAGGCATTTCATAACCTTGACAACAATCATCACCTCGAGTTACTACTGTGTTTCCCTGAACACAATGCATGACTGTATCGCGCACCAATGATAGCTGATGAGGGTGTGATGTGTTCGGGGGAAGATGATAGGCACAGCAAAGAGTGAGATTCAGTACTTGAGTTTCTTGGCTTTCATGAAACGTCATAGGTGCTTGTCGACAGCCAATGATCCATTTCAGGATTAATTAGTGTTGTCAGTGTTGTCAGGAAGTTTCCTCAGCCGTAATCGAGTGTGTAGCATGAAACATGAACCAGACTGCATCAAGTAATCACAATTGCACAGACCAAGCCGTGAAAAGAGATTTGGAAAGCAACAAACAATTTGTCAGGACAGTGTCTCACCGCACAAGACAAATCATTATCCTTTCCAACACAAAGAAAACAAACAGTAGAGTTAGAAAGGTTATCTCGTGGACCCCACGGAGATAGACAACATTCTGAGTACAAACACGAGCAGGTCAGTAGATGAATGATAAGGCCGCAATTGAATCGCCTTACGGCATTATGCCTTCATGTGCATTTGCAAGCTCATTCAGGACCATACTCACCCTCAGACCAATTATGCATTTTCCCCCCACAACTACAGGGGTACATCAACATGTCACAGAAAGAAAATCTGTACTGCACGATTGGGAGAAGTTCTGAAATTTCTGAGCTTTCCAAAACCTACTGGAAGTTCTGGCAGTTGTGACAGTTCTGAAAAGTTCTGAGGTTCTGCTGAAATGCTGAAAGTTCTGCTAGTGCTGAAGTGCTACTCAAGTGCTGGAAGTTCTCAATCGAAAAGAATGTCCCATTGTCCGCATTTTTGCACTGATACCTTGGCAACCGCATAATTATGCATGCTTCATGACGGAATCATAATCATCCAAGAGAAATTGAAAAGCTACCTTGGTATAGGTTGGCAGGCCACTACGCCCTGGCATTTTCTGCAAGAACACAGCACCGTGAGAAAACTTAGCGTCAGAAGGATCCAATGCAAAGCGGCCAAAACAATGGCTGGAAGACATGATCAGCTTAGCACCCTCCACATAACCCCCAGAATTTCACCCCAACAAAGAATGATGCAATGTTACCACACTTCACACAGCTTTCGCGACATCACGATTTCACGCTTCTTACACACTGAGATGTTCACTACCACGATATGAAAACCTTCGAAAATTGCTCGAAAATTCAAGGCTCCAATGCAAAACTGCCAAAACAATGCCTGGAAGACATGATCAGCTCAGCACCCTCCACATAACCCCCAGAATTTCACCCAAACAAAGAATGATGCAATGTTTCCACACTTCACACAGCTTTCGCGACATCACGATTTCACGCTTCTTACACACCGAGATGTGCACTACCACGATATGAAAACCTTCGAAAATTGCTCGAAAATTCAAGGATCCAATGCAAAACGGCCAAACCGATGCCTGGAAGACATGATCAGCTCAGCACCCTCCACATAACCCCCAGAATTTCACCCAAACCAAGAATGATGCAATGTTTCCACACTTCACACAGCTTTCGGGACATCACGATCTCACACTTTTTACACACCGAGATGTTCACTACCACGATGTGCAAACCCTCTAAAATTGCTCGAAAATTCAAGTCTTATACAACGAGTCCCATGCATGCATGCTTACGGTATGGCTGGCAAGCCTCTCTCTCTCTCTCTCTCTCTCTCTCTCTCTCTCTCTCTCTCTCTCTCTCTCTCTCTCTC